GGATGTGGAAAGGCAAAGTGGGAAGCAGCACTAGAAAGGGAAATTGGCTGTCAGGCCTTGTAGTGCCTGAATATTTTGCCAAGGAGTTTGAATTATATACTGTATGTAAAGGTGGCACGAGCATTTGAGTAAGGGAACAACATGATGAGGTTGTATTTGAAGAAGAGAATTCTGACAGAAAAAGTGGAAATAGAGAGAGACCATTTAAAAGACAATTATACCATTATAATGGTGTAAGAAATGGTAACAACCAGAGCAGAAGAAAGTGGTGAAGCAAAGAGCCAGTGGAGTTCATTGGAAGAAAAATCAAAATGAGTAAAAGAAATATTGAAGGGAGAAGAAATAAAGAAGATTTACGTTTTCTATTTTGGGTGATCCAAAGGATAGCATTCCCTTAACTGAGAGGGGGAACACGGGAGCAAAAAATATACTTATAAGTAGCAAGATGATAAATTTAGCTTGTGTCACATTGAAATTGAGGTGGCAATAAGACATGTTGGGGAGATTCTGTTACTCTGTTGCTAATAAAAGTTTGGTGCTTGGCCAAAGAGATCAAAGCTACAGGTGTAGATTTAGAAGTCAGTTTAGCTGAGGTGGTTGAGCCAATGAATGAACTCAAGAAATATTAAGTAAGTAAAAAGAGAAGGAAATGTAGAACAAAATTTGTAAAATTTCAATAGTTAATAAGTTGGCAGAAAGGAAAAGTTAGCAACTGAGGAAACAATGAATAAGAGAAGAACTCTAGAAAACACTTATTTACAAGCACAAGATACTGGTTTTCTTCCTAGTGTTTCAAATAATATTCGTTAAGCTTGCTTGACCTTCATCTGTTCTCATCCGGAATATATATCCTGCAGGGATGAGTTTTAAAAGATAGTGAATGTGAAAAGGCTTTGTAAACCAACAGACAGGCATGTCTTAGGTCTTACAATTAGTGTCACAGAAGTGAGGAAAGTAGAGACTTCCAACAAGAGAGAAAGTTGTGTCCGATGCTAGAGTTTCATAAAAATATTTATTTTTAGCTCAACTCGTTTGGTTTGCAACTTAAGGAAGTTAAGTCAAGAGTGAATCTGTTCTCTAATCACTTAGAACAGCATTTCCCAAAGTATGGAGCATGTGTCTCTGGTTGTACAGGAGACAACGTTGGATTTGACACAGACATCGAGCAGAACTGAATTACATAGTGAGAAAGTTATTATTATTATTTTTTGTCTTTTAATCCTTCAGATTTATGTTAAGGGAAAACATCTCAGTTGGGGCAAATAAGTCTGTAATATCTAATGCAGGCTAGTCTCCCCTTTCAATAAACTCCTTCAGGTTGTCAACATTATTTAGCTAGAATATCATATTAACTTTAAAATTACCTTCCATAATACCTTCTTATTTGGGCCGGGATACCAGTTTTCCAGGTGGGGTAGTGATACAGAGTTTCCTTTTAAAATAAGCTATTTTAAACAAAAAAGTAATTGACTTTTAAAATATTAAGTACTTAATTGTATAGGTGGTATACAGAAATGGCAAAACTGAGAGAGTGGTATTCCAATGATGGGAGTTTGGAAACTTTAGGTTTATCAGAGCCCTTCCTCCTTCTGTTGCTTGGAGTGGCTGCCTTAGTTCAACCATGTTAGAACAATGTGGGAAATTATCCATCCTGGGATGGTGGTGGGGTGGTGGTGGTTGTCTTGGGCTCTAGACTTCCAGATCTAGACCCTGTTCTTCCCCTAAGATGTTGGGTCAATTTTTGAAGCCAGTAGATTTTTCTAGACATTTGTGTCTTTAGCTGTTAAAATGAGAATGCTAGTTTTAAATGATTACTAGCATTTCTTCCAGCAATAAAGTCTATGATTCTTTGAGTGATTAGTAAATAAGCCTATGCTTTCAAATTGATGGAGGTTAGAAAAAATGTTTTTCCCCTGTAAACCATCAATATCATGTGTCAATGCCAGAGGCTGTTTGCAGACTAACATCCACGGCAAGGAAAACATCAACAAATTCATTTTTCAATGATAATTCATATTCTACCTCATTTGTGAAGGATAGTTATTTCAGGAAGGAATCTCTGCTTTAGTTAGGGCAATTGATTAAAGTTGAAAGTGAAATCGTAAACGAAAGTCTGTGTCAATTTCCTGAGCCTACTGCTTAATGCCAACACCTCACTCTTAAGTCAGTAGTTTCACTGCAGTCCTATGTAATCAATTCAGAAAGCCCATGAATTTGGTTCCTTGGCGTAGCAGCTCATAAGTTATAAGTCCTTATACTTAAAAAAGATGTTTCTATTCATCTATTTATTAATATCTTTCCATCTTTTAAAATTTATTTCCCCTGAAAGGGAGGGCAGATGAAGTGTTTTCTAACTGGCTGAAAGTTCTAAGTATTCTTGTGAATTAGTGTAACTCTACATCCCAAGTAACTCTTAAAAATGGAAGCATACCACCTGTTTGGAATATAACAATATGGCGACTTCCATAATCAAAAACATAGCCAAGGACCAGGCAGCAAGTGAAAAATGAATATAGCATGGGGATAGAAAAAAACACCCACACAGTCTTGGAATCTGAAAAAAATGAGTTTGTTACTTCCTTTAACAATGAATCATAGAGAAAAAAAATTTGTCTCTAGGTAGGAAGTGTTTGTTGCTGCCATCTTTTGCACTGCATCAGTGTCAGGTTTTGTTCTAACTTGTGCTAACAAGGGTTATCTTTGGGCAAGCAACTTAGTCATTTTAGGATTGTGTTTGCACATCTGAAAAAAAAGGGATAATGATAACAATAATTTGGTCATTATTCTGACCAAATTAGTGTCTGCATGTAAGTTCCTCAGCAGCATAGTAGATACCTCCTAGATACCCACCAAGTGTTGATTCCCAGCATTGCAGAAACGCTATTGACTAGTTGAGATTCAACATGCACTTGATTTTGAAAGTTCATCTTTTACTGCCCTTCAGAGGCTCTTTCCTTCTTCTATTCTCTATACATTAGTAAACTTGATTTCCTGATTTTGATGCTTACAGATTAGAAGACCAGATTAGAAGGTGTAAAGGACACGAGGAGAAAAAAGACAAGAAACTGAACAAAATAGAAATAATTTAAAAATCACAGCTATCCAGGGCCATTTAGTGAGGGGAAAACAGCCCCTCATGCCTCAGTAGTCACTCAGTAGGCTTTTCTATTTTACAGCAAGATATGATATGAAGTATTCCAAATGATGATCTTGATTTACCAAGATTAAATTCAAGTGTATATACTCTGCTGATTTTAGAAAAAATACAATGACTTTGAAAGAATTAAATATAAAAAGGACAAAATTTTAAGTAAATAATTTTTTGTATGTTTTTCCGATTGAAACTTTAGTCATTCAAAACTCTTAGCCATAGATATGAACTAGGTCTCTAGGCGTTCCACAGAAGCATGATCTTAACTGAAATATCTTCTCTGTGTCTTCAGCAAATAAACCAGGGCTTCACACATTCTGTGGAAAAGGATAGGCATTTCTTTTTCTTTTCTTTTTTTTTTTTTAAGTTTATTTATTTTGAGAGAGAGAGCATGAGTGGGAGAGGGGCAGAGAGAGAGAGAGAGAGAGAAAGAACCCCAAGCAGGCTCCATGCTGTTAGCACAGAGCCGTATGTGGGCTCGATATCACAAACTGCAAGGTCGTGACCTGAGCAGAGATCAAGAGTCTGATGCTTATCTGACTGAGCCACCCAGATGCCCTGGAGTAGACATTTCTAAATACTAAGTTAAAATGATTTTTATGCAGATGGCCTTTGTTTGTGTTTCAAGAATGAGCATTTGACAGAAATTACTTGTGGACTTTCACAGTAGCAACTTTCTCAGATTCTTTTCCCTAGGACTTGGTGTTAGGACGGTTTACCCGGGTGGGACCCAGGGGCTGACACCTTGATTCTTATAGTGTCACATGTGGTTCTTTCATAGTGTTACCTGTAATTCTCTGGGGGAAAAATTTTGAATTTGGTCTGGTTTGCACATTAAAACAAAAGCATTTTCTAAATTATCCCCATAACATAAGTTAGTACAAACTCAAGCGATAATCCATTATATACTGACTCAGTACCAAAAATATTGAATCAAATGAACCTGATATGAATCAAGAAGTGGGCAGATGCAGATACCACAGAGAGCGAACATGTAGAATCCAGCACCATCAGAGGTCAACCAGTCAAATACCAGAGCTGGATTTTTCAAAGAACCAGATAATGCCAGTTTTATGGCCATTAATAACATTTCAGTTATATAAGCAAAGATAAGAGTAATAAAAAAATAAATTCTGCTTCTCAGTGTAATCTGATTGCCAGCAGGGTTCAGAAATGAACTTTCTCATTGTGCACGTGGCATTGCATAATGGACCAGTGATCATTCTGCAGCCCCCTCCCCAAACTTCCATTTCCCTTTTATGGACAGTCCTTAGTTCTGCCAGATCTCTAAGCTATTCCAGGGAGGCAGATTCTTTGGTTTCCCCTTAAAAGCTCTTTGATTGTGCCTCTGGTAGTTAATGCACCAAATGGTCTTTAGGGGTATTTCATACGTGTGCTCTGCAGCTAATCAGAGTGCCTTGGCCCACTGATTTCCTACTTCTGTGTTTTCCACATGTTTAAGGGCTTAGTTCAAACACCAGGCCCACCCACTTCTGGAGAGGCATGGTAGAGCTCAGCTCTGATTTGGGTCTCTGCCTCAAACAGAGATTTTTCCAAAGGATATCCTGTAGTGGATGAATCATTCCATTAGGCCATGTTCACTTTTCAAACCAGGAAGCAAAGTGCCTGTTCTGTAGGGAAACTCAGATAAAGTTGTTGTGGCTGTGCTCAGAGTGCTTATAAATATTGTTGTCAGTGTCTTTGATACAGGTTCCATCAAGATAGTATGTAAACACTGACAGGTTAATTATGTGTTTTAAAGCTTTGTTTATTGAGAGCTGATAGGAAGGCTGTGAAATGAGTCCTTTACATATTGCAGTGACAGTTTTCTCCCCCATGTCTTCCCTAGCTGATTACTCCTCATGCCATCCGTGTGCAGACCCCTCCTCGGCACATCCCTGGTGTTGTAGAAGTCACATTGTCCTACAAATCGAAACAGTTCTGCAAAGGGACACCAGGAAGATTCATTTACACAGGTAAGAGCCACTGCAGATGGTGGACACAGAGCTTTTCCTTGGCCTTGTGAGTGTTTTACTTTATCTTATATGTATACGTGTGCATTTTATTTTAAAATCTAGTTTCCAAGACCCTCTTTCTTTGTCCATTTCACCATATAGATGATTACATGTCTTGCTGTTATTATTATTATTGTTGTTATCATCCTTATTTAAGATTTCGTCTGGGTGTTCATGTTGAACGACAGGATCAGTGGAAATAAGTGGTTGGATACCTGAAGAAGAAGCATGAGAAATAAGAAAGGGGGAAGAAGTTCTAGACAATTCTCCGTCTATCTGGATGTTAAGCCATCTGTGTTGTGGTTTATTTGCTTTATGTAGTTATGGATGTGCTTTAGTGCAGTACAACTTTCTTCCAGCCTGGTCATCGCATTTGTATTAAAGAGAATTGGTAGTTTTCATATTCCATTCTGAGTTGGCACTTTCTTCTCCTGTAAACTGCATTTTGCCCTCCCCAAACAGTCTTTGCACATGGACCTGCCTTGTGGTAAGAAGCTAAGGTTGCAGAGTGAATGTGAATTGATCACCCAACAGATGGAGAGAAACAGGCAGGTTCCCTGGGGAAATGCAAGTATGCAGCCTAAGGGTCCAGTGTGTACTTTAGGAGAGCCTCAGATTACAATGTGCTAGCCAAACACCCACGGATCTTTCTATAATTCAGATGCTGGTTCAGTAGCTCTGGGTGGGACCTGAGACCCTGCATTTATTACAAGCTCCCAAGTGAGGCTGGTGATCTTGGTCCAGGGACCACACTGGGAGAAGTGACATTCTAGGCCCTCTGCTTTGTATTGTCACTCCTGCATAACTGTTTCCAGGAACTTGTCCCACCTTTTCGTCTTCATTCAATGGACGACCACAAGGCCTGATTAAGTATAGAGCATAAGTTGCTCTCACACAAAGAGGCTCCAGGACAGTGAAGAGATAACTCTGTTAGCACATCCTAATTATAACCATACAATTAAATGGACAAATTTTATTTTGCTGTAACATTTTACCTCAAAGCATCTTTCCTTTTGTATTTTAGTACTAGGGATAAAACCAGTTATGCTTCTTAGTCTCTCTCTCTTTCCTTCTCTCTCAAAATTATAAAAACAATTAATGCATCCTGACCCTTGGAAATGCCTCCCAGCCCTTTAAACAAAATGCAGGTTTGGTGCCTGCCTGACGATTAGTTTTAGTTAATTGAAAATTATAGGATTGACCCAAGAGGAAAATTTTGTTTGCACTCCAATCACTTTTACAAATTAAGGAAAATTACCACAATTTTGTTTAGCTAAGGTTTCACACTGAGTTCAAGAAATTAGCTCAGCCATCCCAACAAAGTCAGCACTTTGTTAGTGAGCACTTGAAAAAATAATAGTCTATCTGGAGTTTTGTGGTGTATACAAACGAAGCATAGAGAAAGCTATGATGCTTTATAGAAGTAGGCCAAGTGTTTTTAATTAGGCTCATTGGTTCAGTGTAAGTTTTGAAGAACAATCAAACTAGCAGATTAGCTGTTTCTTTTAAAGCTAGGATTTCTTGCCATTCATTTTTCCCATGAGAACTTCCACATAGCACTATTTTTTTTTTACAAGCCTCATTATGGGCCTGCAGGAAAAGGACCAATTGAAACTTCTGATACTGTAACATTCCCCACCATCATTCCGATGGATGGGAGTTTTTCACAATGTTCCTCACTGAACTCGGTGTTCTGGAACATATTACAAAACCACAGAGGCCAAATGTTTTCTCTGAGGAGTTTGGACTCTGTTTTTGGCCAAAAACATTTAGGCCTTGCTGGCTGCTTATTTACTCTGCTATTAAGAACAAGAAAAAGGAGAAGAAAAAGAAGAAGAAGAAAATGCTTGTGTGGTAGGAGGTACAAGAGGCAATCAGGCATGATTCCGCTTTGGTGACAACATCCCTGCCCATTAATGGTTCCATTTTGTGGTCAGGTCTCATTTAGAAGAAATTATTTTTAATCAGTGTTCAACAAAATATCCCCTTGAGCCACCTGGCCATAAAAGTTAGAAAAAAAAAAAAATCATCCTCACTAAATTACTTAAGTTCTCAAAAGAAAATAGCTAGGGACCCATTATGATTTGGAATTTTTTTAACCATTAAAAAAAATTGCCATCAATTTAAGAAATCACATCTTGGAAAACCTGTATCATACAGGAATTAAGATCAAAGATAAAAGCGGCAGATTTGCAAGTCTAGCAAAGTAGTTAAGGATAAGAGAGATAAATCCTTGGTGTGCATGCACGTGTGCAAGTATGCAGGAAATTTAACATATAAAAAAATACTTTTGCTGATTTTGCCTCAAACTGTGGGAAATAGAAAAGCGACTTAGTCTTTTAAGTATTCTAGGAGAGAATTTAACTTCTCTCCATGTCGGAAAATAAAATTTTGAAGAAATTAACACAAAAACTTCCCCACTGATAGAGTTGGCTATTAGCTTGCTGTGACATTACATCATTTCTAACAGAAGAGGATCTTTTTTAATTGGTGAACTAAACATGGCTTCTTGATTAGCATTAAATGCTGCTACCTAGGGTCACTTGTTCATGGCTGGTGCTGCTGGCCCCTGTGATTTACTCAGTTTACCTCTATCCTTGTTACCACTTACCAACCAAGGCAGAGATGGGTCATAAAACCTTTCTGTTCTTTGTATCAGAACAACCACTCAGGTCAGTGTAAATGTGCAGCAGTCCTTTTCTATCTGCCTGCAGAAGCTCCCACTTCATTTTCTTTAACTTCCATAGCATTTCAAGGTGTGAAACTTGATTTTTTGGACGGGGTAAGCCAACCCTACTGTTTCTTAGCGGAATGGCACTTGAAATTTTTCCCTTAAAAAGGGGGGGATGGGGATATCCTAGGACTGAACCTCACAACCCAAACTTAAGAATTTGTTGCAGTTTTCTGAGTGTGTGAGGGAGTTTGGGTGTGTATATGTCGAAGTCTCTAAGAATCCATAATTGAGCCAGGAACAGCATGGCCTAATCTATGCAAATAAAGGCAGACTTTTGGGGGAGGAGGAAAGGATTTGTCTAAACACAGATTGCCTGCAAGCTGGCTCCACTTATAAGGAGTGTGAACGCTGCTCTCCATCATTGGTTCTTCAGATCAGGGACGCAGGAGGCATTCTTAGTCACCAGATGTGCAGGTCTCTGTGTTTGCCCAGTGAGGGAGCAAAGCGAATCCCAAGTTGAGCAGAACAAATAGTACTTCCCAGATCTTATTTATCATGTCCAGTTATTCTTATGTAAGTTCAGGGCAGAGATGACTTTAAATTTTAAATAATGTTTCCTGATAGAAGGAATAGCATTTCCTTCTAATGACAGGACTGTTTTCAAAGCCCTCTAATAGTGTGTGGTCAGTCAGACCTATAGGAAGTAAATCCACGATAAACCTCCACTTCCGTGGAAAGAGGTCTCTCCAGTACCTTTGTTGTTCTTGCAGCTTGTTTTCCTGCTGTTGTTACATCTTTTAAGAGCCTTGGATCTTTTAGAATTGTAATCTCTCCTGCTAAGCTTTAAGTAACCTTGGGAGTTGATAAAGAACTCTAAGGAGGCTTCAGAAGCTTCTTCAAAGTTCTAGAGTTGGTTTTCTTGATAAGAAGTGGCCAAATCCAAATGCAGTTTTACATCATTGCAGTTCTTTCTCCACGGGAAAGGCTCCTATCTTTGGGGAAACAATGACTAGAAGAATAAGCCATCAGGATGTGTCTGATTAGCTCAGGTGTGCATGGAGAGCTGTTGACTGCCAGCTCTGCCAGATGGTGAAAGCCCCAGTGGAATGATCATGTCCCAGCTCAGATTTGGGTTAGGCCACTTCTCAGATCATTCTGCCACCAGGTTCTGCCAGTCTAAGGATTATTCACCAAACTTCCTGCCCCTGTAGAAGGACTAACCCACATCCCTGTGTATCAGTGTCAGAATTAACTTCGAAATAAAAATTCTTCCTGGAAATACTTCCTGTTTGTACCTCCTGCCCAAAACAGCTTTGCATGTAGGAGGGCCCATTTTGGCTAAATAAGCTCTGTGGAACTTGATGATATATGCCATGTCTTCCAAGTTTTCCTTTTTTTCTCCCTATTCCTTTTGTTTTCTTCTCCTTCTCTTTCTCTTCCTCCGTCCCTTCTCCCCCTGTTCTTTCCTCCTCCCATTCTTTTCTCTCTTACTCCCAAGGAGACAATATGGCCTAGTGATTGAGGGCTTGGTTTCAAGAGGTGGTGGGTTTGGATCGAATGCTCAGCTCTACCACTTACTATGGAGGTTATTTTGGGCACATCATGTGATGGTTTTGAACCACAGCTGCCTCATTTTTACAAGGGAATAATCCCTTACTGGGGTTCATTTTAGTATCAGGGAAATGTATGTAAAGCACCTTTCGTGAGCTAGTATGAACACCTAGCCAGATACTAGTAGTTTCCATTAATAAATGATAGCCATTACTATTGTTCATTAATCTTTTCTTTTGTTGCGGAGTCCCTACCACGGTGTAGATATTTTACATATATTTTTTATCTTCACCATCATTTCCTAGAGGGCTAAGAAATGTCCTTTAGGGATTTTAGTAACAGAACTGTAGACATCCATAAATAAAAGAAACAAGTAGCACTAACCAACCACAAATAAAAAGAGCAAAGTATGAATAAAGTAGCAAGAAAAAGAGATTTATAAATATGAATATAACAATTTTGATACAACAAATACTTTCTCGGGAATAGCCTCAAACAATAAATATTTTTATAAGGCAGCCCTGACTTATAACGTTCTCTGATGCTGAATTTTCAGGAAAAACACATACCTGTCTTTTTGGTTCCAATCAAATTTCAGCCCTTCCTCTGGAGGCCATAGTAACATGGGTATAGTCTATCACCAGCCCTTTCAAAGGTGTTTAGGCTATAATTGCTTCAACTCCAGGTTCAAAAGGTTCAAGGCCAGAAGACTCTGTTTCTAGTTCTTGAAACGCTC